ATGAATATATTTTCCTTTCTTTTTCTGTTTTTAAGATTTTCAAACAATTATTCTTACATAAGTATAATAGAATTTAACAAAAAAAGAAAGAAAAAAAAAGACAATTCTTAGATAAATTTAGACTTTCTCTTTGTCTAGTTTTCTCATACAAGTTAAGGAAAAATGGCTATTAACGATTGTAACGTGTGGTTCCTGGTACGGTCCCCCAGATGCAACTTGAGATGACGCATGCAGTGACGACCAAGCCCACGACGTGGCAAAAGGTGCCACGACGTGGAAAGGGCCAGTTTTGCCCTATAAATAGATTTCAAGGGCCAGCCGAGTTTGGTTGCTCATTCTCTCATCTCTCACCCATATTACCTCAATTTATGTGCAAAGTACCCCAGAAGCCCCAGTATCAACCCCGAGACCCAAAGCAAGTCCCGAAGCCTGAAGATCCCGAGAAGAAAAGAGTTTCTGAGCCGAAGCTCTGCCCGGGATAAGCCCGGTGTGCAAAGTGATCCCGATTTCACCGAAGAATACTCCTCTTAGAGTTGTAGTGTTGTCCAAGCATCGTCTAACCAAGTAAGTGTGTGGTTACTTTCTTCTAACGCATAAATACGAAGTATTTTATACGAAATACGTGTTATGTGTATATTTTGTTGTTATATGTGTGAATGTATATTCACTTTCTTCTACTGCATAGATATGACGTATTTGCTATGAAGTACGTGCTAGGTGTTTATACATTGTTTGTTTACTTAAGATAGATGTTGAAATAATGTTTTATACGTGTTTTAGAAGATTTAAACTGTATATGTGTTTACATCTACAAATATGTTGGGTAGAACATAGGTAGATGAAATAGTTGATGTGAGACGAAATAATAAGTATTTTTGAACTCAATGTGTTCATTAGGTATTTTTGAACTCTATGTGTTCACTTGGTGTTTGAACTCAATGTGTTCATTAGGTATTTCCGAACTCTATGTGTTCGATTGGTATTTTTGGACTCAATGTGTTCGTTAAGTATTTTTGAACTAGATGTGTTCACTTGGTGTTGTTGAACTGAGTGTGTTCACTAAGTGTTTTAGAACTAAGTATTCACCAGATGTTTTGAATGAATTGTTCACTAGGAGTGTTAGAACTAGGTGTTTTTTAAGTATGTTGAACTAAGTGTTTACCAATCGTAATTTGTGGACCTTGGCAGTGGTGGACTTTGTGTCAATTCCTTAGGTCAATCCTTAGAAATAAATGGATAAAGGATAGTTGATTCTTAGGGTAAATCCTTAAGAAATAAAGGAGATAATGGGAATGAGTATTTGGGTTGATTGTTTGATAATTGAATATAATAAATGTATTATTGTGGGTTGAAAACCCTATATGCTCACCAGGCTCCCAAGCCTGACCCACTCAGTTTAATTGTATCACAGGTATCGATACGAAGTTGCTTTGCACTGAGAGATTAAAGGAGATGTAAATCACTAGAGTAAATGAATGTATGTTCTATTTATGCTTATGTGTCTGTATCGGAACATGACATCCCAAGGTTTTATTATTTAATGAAAATACATTCTCTTTGAGAAATGTTTTGATAAGTTTTTATCATATCTTGTTTTGTGAACAAATTCCGCAACCATTTTCTTTAAACGATTACTCTGATTTATAAAACAAAGCATAAACAATTCGGTCTTTTCTGGCCGAGAAATTGGGGATGTCACAGTATGTAAGATTGTGGTTGCATCACAAAACATGTATAGAAAACCATGGTTAGATCATGGTAGGGAAAACTACAACAGGGCTATAGCACGAAAGTGATGATAAGACTATGGTTGAATCATAACAGTCACATGGGTTGAAATATACCCCTAGGGTTGCTCCTATTGAGATGTATGGCATGTGGTATTTTAGAAAACTCACTGAGCTTTCTGCATATAGTTTTAGGTTTAAATGTTTCATGTATATATGGTTTTAAATAAGAGGGCACGACATGATTGTATCACATCCACTGGAGTTTCTAGAATCATGATTTTCTTATTACTCTAATGTTATTTTGAAACTCATTTGATACACTGATTATCTTTTGGAAGTAATGAATGGATGTTATGGTTGAATTAAAATGAAAATTTTCCTAATATTTTTGGAACGTTACTGTTGGATTAGTGTCTAAGTCCATAACTATTTTGGTATGTACTTGACCCGATGGTGCATGGTCCTTTTGAGTTGCCTTCACCAAAGCAACTTGATTGGAGAAATATATAGAGAGAGATAGGATAATATGATTTATTAATATGTTATAAGAATAATATATTAAAGGAGAAATCATATTTGTTTAATTAATATTGGTCAATAATTAATTAGGAATTAATTTTGTGATCAAGTGTAATTAATTAAACTAGAGGGGCTGATTTGTAATTATGTGATAGTTACAAAATAAGGTAAGGATTATCTTAAATATAGGGTGAACGAATTTGAGGTGATAAGGCCTTAGAATTTGACTATGATAAGGATTCAAGGATTATCTTATGGGTTGCTTTGTGGATAAGCAACTAGATAAGGATAATGACTGAAACCCTATCTCTACACCTATATAAACACCCCTTGGCTCATGAATTCGTGTATCCCTTCCGAAGGAGTCCTAAGGACGAATTCTAACCTCTCTCCTCTCTCTTTATACCTTCTCCATTTTCTCTTGGTGTTTGTAAGCCATTAGAGGAGTGACACTTGTGACTCTAAGCATTCCAAAGTCAATTCAAGGAGGAATTGGGATTGTTATTCCTACATAACAATCAAGGTATGATCTTAAACCTAATTACATATTAATATGATTACTTGAATGCTAGAATTAGGGTTTATAGTCTTGGATTCAAAGCATGTACAATAGAGAAACCTAGATCCAAGCATTAGGGTTTGTATGAGCACATAGGATGTCTTATGACCAAAAACCCATCAGTGGTATCAGAGACTTGATTGGTTTCAATTGTATTGATGCATTATATACCTAAAAAATTCGATTTTTGATGTTTTAGAGGTTGGACTCGCCAAGTCCATAGTTGAACTCGCCGAGTCCAGGGTGACTCGACGAGTCTAGGCTTGACTCGACGAGTCAATTCGTCAGATAGTGCTTATCGCGGGATTTCTTGCTGTTTTTGCATATGGATAGTTACCTTATCATGTTAGATCAATATTAATCCGATTATATGATATATTTGACTATATTTTTGATCTAAATGAAGATATTTATCAATTAATAAGATAATTGTTTCCTTATAAGATAATTGATTAATTATTTTGAGTAAATTGATAAATTGTTTTGCAAGAAATCATTAAATAAATCAAATATGGATAATTATGTGATTAAATGTTAATTTAAAATTATTTGTTATTTGATCCTTGTTGTTATGAAAAGTTTCATATTTTCCCCTTTAGGTTTTATAGTTTAAATTTGAACCCAAAAGTTTTGTTGTTTTGAAATTTAAATAGTTAAAACCCTAATGTTTTGAAAAAGGTTTCAAAACTTGCCCTCAAGTTTTGGAATTTAAAAGTTGATTAAAAGTTTAATTAGGAATGTTAAATTCTAAAACCCTAGTAATGTTTTGAAAAGTTCAAATACACCCTTATGGTTTTATTAATTAATTAAGGAGTATAATTAAAAGAGATTTAATAAATCCATAAAAGTTTAGGTTAACCATTTAATTGAATTAAAAGTGTAATTGTTAAAGTTAACCACATAGTATTTTAAAAGTATAAAATCCACCCTATACTATATATAACATTAAAAGTCTAACATTATATATATGTATGAGTAAAAGTCAGTCTTACCGTTAGTAGGCCTCATTCACGAAGCTGGTCTATAAGGGGTGTTTAAGGAAATTGCCTATAAAATGGCGATTGAATGGGTATCCACTCTTACCCACCGCACTCTTGACTAGTGGAGGGTCGTTAGCCGAACGGGTAGGATAGGACGAAACCTTCCATTATAAGTATAATGAAATACAAAGTAACTAAATGTTTTTCTAATTCCCAATCTTAGTTACTTAGGCAAAAGTGAATTGATGCAATTCCATGAAATTACACTTTGTGCCCTTGCGAAGACGTTAGTGGAGCATGTGTGGTTTACCGGCACACTAAATGGTTCTAAGCAAAGGTAGCAACGGGTGACTCAATGTTTCTCATAGTTAGGTGGAGCGTGTGTGGTTTACCGGCACATCGAATAGGTGATTGTAACATGTGAGGGCACCATGTAACTTTGCATGGTTAATCACACCCGCTTTGTGATCCTCGGCATCCCAGTCACAAACAAGAGGGGCACATCGAGATTTAAATATGCCATTGAAATGTTCAATGAATCTCAAAGGATCTAGGAGTTTTCATAGATTTAAAACTTAAATTTCTTTTTCGTTTTCGATGGTGGAAATTAGTGAATCATCATTCACTTACCTTCAAAATGTCTGCAATTAGGGTTACGGCATCCCTCTCCCGAGTTGTAGAATATTGTGTTGGGTCCTAGCCTTAGTATTCATTTGGGTGATTTACTAAGGACTCAATAAATCAACTAACTTGAATTTGTTTTCTCCCATTTTGTAGATGTCAAAGTTCGACAACTATGGTCTTCCCAAATCCCGTGGAAACAAGCATTCCACATGAAGATGGTATATTCCACGATTCGATCGAGGAAACGAAATCATGCTTCACTTCCTCACCTCCTCCAATTGTTCTCCCTAACCCACAAGATCGAAGAATTGAAAGGTTCAACATCACTAAAGCCCTATTGGAAATGAAACATGAAGATGGTAAACCCGTGTGTGCCCATGTTCTAGGAATGAAATCAGACATTGATAGGTTGATAATGTTGGGTGTGTCATTCCCGAATGAGTTGGCTGTGAATTGGGTTTTGCAGTCACTTCCAGAATCATATAATGAGTTCAAAAGA